ATTTGATTATAAAATTGGTGTTAAATTGGTGGATTAAGTAAAATTGTTAAATTGATAGATTAAGTTAAAATTTTTGTTAAATTGGTTGTTAAAATTGGTATTAAATTGGTGGATTAAGTTAAAATTGGTGTTATTTTGATGTGGTAAACAAAATAACAAAACATTAACGCAAACTAACTAATGCAAACAAAATCACGTACACAAACTAACATACACACGTAAAAACTCCCATAAACAAGCAAACAAACAAACACAGGTCAACTTTCATAAACAAAACACACCAAACAAACAAAAAAACACAGGTAAACAGGCCAACTCTAGTCTTTCCATCAGAGGTTCACAACATGGCGTCCTTCAGTCCGCATTAGTTTTTCCCCATAACACACACACACACACACACACACACACACACACACACACACACACACACACACACACACACACACACACACACACACACACACACACACACACACACACCACACACACACACACACACAACACACACACACACACACACCTAAATTCTTTCCACTTATAACCGACACATAAGTAAAGACCTTGGGTAATATAAGTAGTAAAGTGAGGTGTCTTCTACTAAAGCGTCCAAATAATAAGAATTCTTGTAATATAAGAGAAGTATTTTTGACCCCAACTTATAACTAACATGTAAGTAATGATCCTGGCTTTATAAGTAGAATAATAACTATAATAACATAATAACAAAATTAATATCAATATTAATAACCATAATAATACTAATAATAACAAAAACAATAGTAATAACAAAGATAATAATAACCACAATAACAATAATAACATCAATAACACCAATAATGATAACAATAACAATAAAAATAACAATAGTAATAGTAATAACAAAAATAATAATAACCACAATAACAATAAATAACACCAATAATATTAATAATAGCAACAATAATAACAGCATCAATAACACCAATAACAATAACCACAATCAGACAACAATTAAACACCACAACACACCCCCAGGCCATACACCACCTTGAGCCTGACACAAGACCTTGAGGTGTACGGCAGTTTTCCCACACTCCTCCTGCCTACCTGTACAACCTACCCACCCACATCCACTCCACCCACCTGTACACCCACCCACCTGTACACCCACCCACCCACCTGCACACCCACCTGCCCGTCACACCCACCCACCTGTACACACCCACCCACCTGCACACCACCCACCTACCTGCACACCCACCTACCTGTACACCCACCTACCTGTACACCACCTACCCACACCCACCCACCGACACACACCCACCCACCTGTACACCTGCTCCACCTGCTGACCCACCCACCTGTACACCTACTCACCTGCACACCCACCTACCTGCACACCCGCCCACCTGTCACCACCCACCCACCACCACACCTACCTACCTGTATACCCACCTCTGTACACCCACCTACCTGCACACCCACCCACCTGTACACTCCCTCACCTGTACACCCACCCACCTGTACACCTACCCACCTGTACACCTGCCTACCTGTACACCTGCCCACCCACACCCTCACTCCACACCCACCCACACCACCCACCCACACCCACCCACCTGTACACACCCACCCACCACACCCACCCACCCACCACACCCACCACCTGTACACCCACCCACCCACCCACACCCACCTGCACCAACCCACCCACCTGCACACCTGCCTACCTGTACACCTGCCTACCTGTACACCTACCTACCTGTACACCCACCTACCGTACACCTACCCACCTGTACACCCACCCACCTGTACACCCACCTACCTGTACACCTACCTACCTGCACACCCACCCACCTGTACACCCACCTACCACACCCCACCTACCTGTACACCCCACCTACCCGTACACCTACCACCTGCACACCACCTACCTGTACACCTCTGCCTACCTGTACCTACCTACCTGACCTCCTACCTAACCACCACTGTACACCTGCCTACCCACACCCACCTACCTGTACACCCACCTACCTGTACACCCACCTACCTGTACACCTACCCACCTGTACACCTGCCTACCTGCACACCTACCCACCTGTACACCTGCCACCCACACCTACCTACCTGTACACCCACCACCTGTACACCCACCCACCTGTACACCACCCACCTGTACACCTACCTCACCTCCTGTACACCCACCTACCTGCACATCTCCACCTACCTGTACACCTACCCACCTGTACACCTACACCTGTACACCCACCTACCTGTACACCCACCTACCCACACCTGCCTACCACACCCACCCTACCTGTACACCCACCTACCTGTACACCCACCCACCTGCACACCTACCCACCCGTACACTCCACCTCCTGCACACCCCCACCTGCACACCCACCCACCTGACACCCACCTACCCACACCCATCTACCTGTACACCACCTGACTACCTGTACACACACCCACCACCTGCACACCCACCTACCTGTACACCCACCTGCCTGTACACCTACCCACCTGCACACCCACCTACCTGTACACCCACCTACCTGTACACCCACCACCTGCACACCTGCCTACCTGCACACCCACCTACCTGCACACCCACCTGCCCACCCACCCACCTGCACACCCACCTACCCACACCTACCTGTACACCCACCTACCTGTACACCTACCCACCAGCACCCACCTACCTGACCTGCCCACCTGCACACCCACCCACCTGCACACCTACCTACCGACACCTCCACCACACCTACCTTACACCCGCCACCTGTACACCTCCCACCCACACCTACCCACCCACACCTACCTACCTGTAACCCACCTACCCACCTGCCTGTACACCTACCTACCTGTACACACCCACCTACCTGTACACCTACTCCACCTGTACACCTACCTACCTGTACACCTACCCACCTGTACACCTACCTACCTGACCACCACCTGTCCACCTGCACACCTACCCACCCACACCCCACCTACCCGCCACCCACACCTACCTACCTGCCCACCTACCTGTCACCTACCTGACACCCCACCCACACCTGCCTACCTGTACACCCTTCCACTACCACCTCACCACTGCACCTGTACACCTACCACCTGTACACCACCACCTGTACACCACTACCTGACCTCTACCTGTACACCTACTACCTGTACACACCTACCTGTACACCTACCTGCCTGTACACCTACCTACCTGTACACCTACCTACCTGTACACCTCCTACCTGCAAATCACCTACCTGTACACCTGCCTACCTGCACACCTACCTACCTGTACACCTACCTGCCTGTACACCTACCTATGCACTCCTACCTCCTGTACACCTACCTACCTGTACACCTACCTACCTGTACACCTACCTACCTGTACACCTACCTACCTGTACACCTACCTACCTGTACACCTACCTACCTGCCTGTACACCTACCTGCTTACCTGTACACCTACCTACCTACCTACCTGTACACCTACCTGCCTTCCTGTACACCTACCTGTACACCTACCTGCCTTCCTGTACACCTACCTACCTGTACACCTACCTGCCTACCACCTTGCTAATTACAGGTATACATTCTTCACAAAATATTAAATCATACACCCTGGGGAAGTATTAATTTTCTTTACTGTAACTAATAAAAAAAATTAAGATGAAACAGTGATATTTAAAGGAATTTTAATATATTATTGAACGATATAAACCTCGATTTAACGGACTATATGTAGAGAAAAGTCCGTTATAGCGAGGTTGTTAGATGTGAAACCCTTATTTAACGGATTCTACGGAGTTAAGTCCGCTATAGGGAGGTAATACATTAATATATAAACCATTAAATCACGTGAAGATTAAGCACCTCAGTTTAAATTACCACTAAACCTAACCTTACTTAACCTAACCTTAACCAAACTTAACCTAACCTTAACCAAACTTAACCTAACCTAATATAACATTAACCTAATCTAACCAAAACCTAACCTTAACCAGACTTAACCTAACCTAAACCAAACTTAACCTAACCTAACATAACATTAACCTAACCTAACCCTCCCAGGAAGTATAGGGATATTTAACCATTAGGTGAAATAAGCTAGGGGGCTAATCTTCATGTGGGCCGCCATTACATACACACCGGGCCTTTGAGAAAACATAGGTAAATACTTGTAAATAAATTATGTAAAATAGACGATGCTGGTGTAAATATGAGGGTGTATTTACAAACGTGTTGATTAGTGTTAAAAAATGTAAATCATTGTAAATAATATAGATATAAAAAAGCCAATGACGAGGAATTTAAACTATTTAACACAAATATGTAAATGAAAACATATTTACTATCTTGTAAACACATCGATGGTAAAAAAAATTTCGTAAATGTGTAAAATAAATTTGTAAACATGATCATAACGCAGAATTCAAACTTTTAAAATAAGAAAATTTACACACATGTAAAAAACAATTTACAATAAACACCGATGACAAAATACATATAAATATTCCGAATAAAAATACTTGTAAATGTGTAAAAAAAATCAGCACATCAATATTTACAGAAATATGTAAGAAAAATGACAAACACATTGGGAAATATATTAACTATTTAAAGGGGTAAATTGTGTAAAAAAAATGGTAAACACGACACTGACCCGTAAATAAATTATGTAAATATAAACTCATTTGACGCTGAATTTACTCTAGGAAAAAATTTAAATAAGTACGTGAAAAAACACACTTAAAACACGGTGAGATGTGTAAAAAGAACAGACTTACGTAAAAAACACGAGAGAGAGAGAGAGAGAGAGAGAGAGAGAGAGAGAGAGAGAGTATTTACACACATCCCTATGAGCGAAATCTCAAAAAACGTACCAATTACAATTTATAAACTTTACTCAAATTCGTACACAAGGAACAGGTGAGATAACCAGGTAGGACTAATAGAGAGACAGGTAACCCACCCACCTTCCCCCTACATGATTCAAAACACATGACTACTCTTACCTGATGGTGGTGGTGCTGACTGCTGCTGGTGTTCTTGGCGGAGGCGGTGTAGTAGTATGGAAGTCTTGTATCACTGACTCACCCACCCCTCACCTCTCACACAACCTACACACACACACACACACACACGTTTAAAACACCAACTCCCCCCTCACACTGTAAAACTATAACATCTCTTATAACTTTTCAATAACTTTTTTCACCCCCTCAAAACTTTCTTTCACCAGGGGGAGGGGTTAGGAGGGAAGAGTTGTATACCAGTTGTGATTCTTTGAACAGACGGGGACCAACGCGGACCTGATCCACCCTCACTAGCAGCCAGCGACAAACTCCCCACCACCACACCTGAGTGAAGCTTTCTCCCGACCGACCCCTTACCTGAAACCCGGACGCTGATTGGCGGAGCGTTAGTAAGCCCCGCGCGGATTGGTTCCCTGTTGTCCCCCCTCCTCCCCCGGATGTCTTGATAACCAGGCCGACAGGGACTCCGGGGTTCAGTCGAGAGAGGACCCCAAAGGAGGAGGTGTGAAACTGCCTTAGAGTTTATGTCACAATGTTGTTCTGTTACCTGCAAATGAGACCAATGTTTAATAATAACAACAACAATCCTGGAGTTGGTTTACACTCACCTGAACAGTTGTGTGTCATAGTCAGTAGTGATAATAGGCCCTGGAAGTACCTATAGTATTTAACCCTTTGACGAAGATGATTTAACCCTTTGACGACGATTATTTAACCCTTTAAGGACAATGATTTAACCCTTTAATGACGATGATTTAAGAACGAGTGAACACATACGAATCAAAGAAGGTGTTTGGTTCGTAAACATCCTGTCACCTCCCACCCACCCGCCCACCCATTCACCACCCCCGCCCGCCCACCCACCCACGTCCCTCCCAGCTGCATAATCTACACTGTGTAGGGGAGGGGAGGGGGGTAGGGGAGGAGGAGGGGTGTAGGGGAGGAGGAGACGGGTAGGGGAGGAGGAGGAGGAGGGAGAGGAGGGTGGGGGAGGAGGGAGGAGGGTGGGGAGGAGGAGGGGGTGTGGGGGGGGAGGAGGAGGGGGGTGGGGAGGAGGAGGGGGAGGAGGAGGGGGTAGGGGAGGAGGAGGGGGGTAGGGGAGGAGGAGCTGTCTCATGTTTTCCTTGTGAGGTGACGTTGAGTTACCAGTATTTTGATAGCTTGTGTGAGTTACCAATATTATGATAGCTTTTATGAGTTACCAGTATTATGATAGCTTTTATGAATTACCAGTATAATGATAGCTTTTATGAGTTTCCAGTATAATGATAGTTTTTATGAGTTACCGGTATAATGATAGCTTTTATGAGTTACCAGTATAATGATAGCTTTTATGAGTTACCAGTATAATGATAGCTTTTATGAGTTACCAGTATAATGATAGCTTTTATGAGTTACCAGTATAATGATAGCTTTTATGAGTTACCAGTATAATGATAGCTTTTATGAGTTACCAGTATAATGATAGCTTTTATGAGTTACCAGTATAATGATAGCTTTTATGAGTTACCAGTATAATGATAGCTTTTGTGAATTACGAGTTCCATTATCTATTAATGTTTTATTTATAATTAAACTAGAAGACAGATTATTTATATCAAAGACTCATAAATTATGTTCATTATACTAGAGCTAAGACCACGTCCGGATTTCCTACCGGTTAATATCCCACCTACCTGCCTGTACACCTACCTGCCTGTACACCTACCTACCTGTACACCTACCTGTACACCTACCTACCTGTACACCTACCTACCTGTACACCTACCTACCTACCTGTACACCTACCTACCTACCTGTATCGTAAGGTATAGTAAGGCAGAATTTCCTCATAATTGGAGATGTTTACGGTAAGGTATCTAACATTTTTAAGCCATGACAGGACAGGTGTAGAAAGTGACGGTAAAGTGTTAAGACAGGTGTAGAAAGTGACGGTAATGTGTTAGGACAGGTGTAGAAAGTGACAGTAAAGTGTTAAGACAGGTGTAGAAAGTGACGGTAAAGTGTTAAGTGTAGAAAGTGACAGTAAAGTGTTAAGACAGGTGTAGAAAGTGACGGTAATGTGTTAGGACAGGTGTAGAAAGTGACAGTAAAGTGTTAAGACAGGTGTAGAAAGTGACGGTAAAGTGTTAAGTGTAGAAAGTGACGGTAAAGTGTTAAGTGTAGAAAGTGACAGTAAAGTGTTGGACAGGTGTAGAAAATGACAGTAAAGTGTTAAGACAACAAATACAAACACCCACATTCATTTATAAACAAAATCTAATCAGTTTATTCACATTATCACACGAAAATAAAATAAATCTCTCCAACGCAGAATCCTGAAAATAAAAAAAATGGGCGGTACATTTTGGCGCGTCAATTAAGAAGCCTTCCTCCCATCACAAACTTTTGGCGTTCATAGTTGGTGAAGTTGTTTGGCGAGTTGTCGAGGAGTTTTCAAAGACCTCCTAATCATCTTACTTAAGGGCGTGGAAACTGTTGCTGCTACGTCCCGAGGCTAGAGTTATCGTACGTCAGGATGTTATTGTTGCACTAGAGGGAAGGAGGGAGTTATCATACGTCTGAGAGAGTTGTGGTACTGGGGGGGGGGGAGTTATCGTACGTCTGGAAGGTGTTGTTGTACTGGGGTAAGGAGGGAATTATCGTACGTCTGGCAGTTGTTGTTGTACTGGGGAACGGAAGGAGTTATCGTACCTCTGGGAGTTGTTGTTGTACTGGGGGAATGAAGGAGTTATCGTACGTCTGGCAGTTGTTGTTGTACTATGGAGGTTATCGTACGTCTGGGTATATTGTTGCACTGGGGAAGTTATCGTACGTTGGAAGTTATTATTGTACTGGGGGAAGGTATCGTACGTCTGGAAGCTGCCATACACCCACCAACCCCTTCCACACAAACACACACACACACATTAATATCACCAGTGCCTGCTTGTATTTATTATCCAAACAACACTTAACTAGCAGGTCCCCACGACACACACACACACACACAGGAAGCCAGTCTCACGCCGCTCCCAATGACGGTATCCTGCATCCTTCAACTTACCGTCTCTGGGATAATCTTGGCACTTATTATCGTTGCTTGGTGATGCTTGTGGTGTGGTACTTGATTGTTTGTGGTGGTGTGGTACTTGTTGATTGATTGTGGTGGTGTGGTACTTGTTGATTGTTTGTGGTGGTGTGGTACTTGTTGATTGTTTGTGGTGGTGTGGTACTTGTTGATTGTTTGTGGTGGTGTGGTACTTGTTGACTTGTTGATTGTTTGTGGTGGTGTGGTACTTGTTGATTGTTTGTGGTGGTGTGTACTTGTTGATTGTTTGTGGTGGTGTGGTACTTGTTGATTGATTGTGGTGGTGTGGTACTTGTTGATTGTTTGTGGTGGTGTGGTACTTGTTGATTGTTTGTGGTGGTGTGGTACTTGTTGATTGTTTGTGGTGGTGTGGTACTTGTTGATTGATTGTGGTGGTGTGGTACTTGTTGATTGATTGTGGTGGTGTGGTACTTGTTGATTGTTTGTGGTGGTGTGGTACTTGTATTGTTTGTGGTGGTGTGGGTACTTGTTGATTGTTTGTGGTGGTGTGGTACTTGTTGATTGTTTGTGGTGGTGTGGTACTTGTTGATTGATTGTGGTGGTACTTGATTGTTTGTGGTGGTGTGGTACTGTTGATTGTTTGTGGTGGTGTGGTACTTGTTGATTGTGGTGGTGTGGTACTTGTTGATTGATTGTGGTGGTGTGGTACTGTAATTGTTTGTGGTGTGGTACTTGATTGTTTGTGGTGGTGTGGTACTTGTTGATTGTTTGTGGTGGTGTGGTACTTGTTGATTGTTTGTGGTGGTGTGGTACTTGTTGATTGTTTGTGGTGGTGTGGTACTTGTTGATTGTTTGTGGTGGTGTGGTACTTGTTGATTGTTTGTGGTGGTGTGGTACTTGTTGATTGTTTGTGGTGGTGTGGTACTTGTTGATTGATTGTGGTGGTGTGGTACTTGTTGATTGATTGTGGTGGTGTGGTACTTGTTGATTGATTGTGGTGGTGTGGTACTTGTTGATTGTTTGTGGTGGTGTGGTACTTGTTGATTGTTTGTGGTGGTGGTATTATTGTTGGTGTAGTGTGGTGTTGGGTTGGTGTTGTAGTGCTTATTGATGCAGAGAGAGAGAGAGAGAGAGAGAGAGAGAGAGAGAGAGAGAGAGAGAGATCACCCCCAACAGAGCAACATTTACCAACACATTACCACAGAAACAGTATCATGCCACAGCGATAATTTATCACTAATCTGATAACATTAACTCAAAACAATCCTGTATAGTTCCGGTTCTCATAAGTCTCCTCTAGTGATGATCATAGAACTGTATTTTATTTTAGTCTGATTTAAATTTACTTGTAGGGGTTACGTGGGTTAGGTTGGGTGGGTTGGGTGGGGTGGGTTGTGTTGTGTTGTGTTGTGTTGGGTTAGGTGGGTTGGGTTGTGTTGTGTTGGGTTGTGTTGGATTGTGTTGTGTTGGGTTGGATTGTGTTGTGTTGGGATGGGTGGGTTGGTGTTGTGTTGGGTTGTGTTGGGTTGATTGTGTTGTGTTGGGATGGGTTGGGTTGTGTTGTGTTGGGTTGTGTTGGGTTGTGTTGTGTTGGTATATAGTGAGCTGTAGCCACTTTAACTAGACACATCATTAACTTCGTACAGTACAACGTGTCGTGTCCTTAACGGAGACCCAAAACTCTCAACGGGATCAGCTATACTCAAGATCCGGTATACAACATAATGTACGTATAAAATTAAAAAAATATAATAACAGCATTTATGGCATATTGGTCATACTAAATTACGGTTATATAACAATAATATAACAATAATAAGAGTAATAATAATAATAACAATAATAGAATAATAATAAGACATTGTAATAATAACAATAGTAATAAACTACTACAGTAACATTAGCCAAATATTTCCTAAACACACAGCTGGCCCCTTACCTTCCTGTGTGACTCAGTTAATACAGGGCACACACACACACACGTTGGTAACTCCCTGCATAGACAGAGAGCAACAGACGTACACAGAGCGAGAGACAGACATAGCAGAAACAGCGCTAGAGACAGACAGACAGACAGACAGAACAAACACAGCGAGAGACATAACATAAGAAAATAAGGAGTCTGCAATAGGCCGACAGACAGACGGTAAGAAAGACAGGAGAAAAAATAATGTTGTTAATAATATACGCTCTAATATACGTAGGCCTACATTACAGAGACAAAGAGACACTGTATTTTAGAGAGAAAGTTCCCCTGGTA